TCAGCCAACCTGTGCTCACAGCCTCTGCCCCAGCTATACCTACCTTGTGCACACCCTGATCCAGGCTCCTCTCCATTCCCCTGACCAGAAATGCATTCTGCTCCTCTTTATCAAAGTTCTGCTCTTTCCCAGGCCAGTGCAATCCCTCCTCCCTGGCAAAGCCTCCTCTGACCCTGGGGTCTCAGTCCCTCTCTGAAGCTTGTTCCAGTGGTATTGCTTTTCATTTGCCTCTACCTCTTTGTGTCTCATGGGCAACAGGAGATAAACTGTGTGTTCCTCTGTGGCTTCACTAGCCTGGCCCCAGTGCTGGGCATATAGTCAACCTCCTCTGCAATGGATGTCTGTTGGACCCAAACTCTGAGTACATTTGTCACACACGCACACACACACATGCCCAAGGAAAACTAACCATGGGCCTACAAAGCCATATCCCAAATGGAATGTGCATTCTTGCCTTCTCTTGTTAGCATGCGTGTGTGTGGTCTTTTATTTTGGTTTGTGATGCCAGGGATCAAGCCCAGGGCCTTCTGCATGCTAAGCATGTGTTTCACACTGAGCTGCACGCCTAGCCTTTGGTAGAAGTTTTAATGACTTGTCCCAGGACTCCCCAGCCTCCTTTTCACCCGGAGGTCTTGGCGGTGTTGGGGGAGACTGAGCTTGAGAGGAATCAGCCACTGGGATGGCAGGAATCTCAGCAGCCAGAGTGGCTCCAGCATTGGGGGATGTTCACGCTGCCCAAGCAAGATTCAAGACCTAGACAGGAGTGCAATGAGTGGACAGGAATGTGCAAAGACTTGAGTTGGGCATAGTGGCATCTGCCTGTAGTCTCAGCATATAGAGTAATATGCTATTACTATAGCTCTGGAATTCTCTGTGAGTTCCTGACCTTCAATCCAGCCTGCCCTCTTTGCTATGAACTTTGGATGGCAGGACAGCTCCACAGGACTTAATTTTTCTGAGTGGCACTGAGGAGTGGTTGCGGGATAAGCAAAGTGACAGAGGCTTACAGTGGCCTAAACCCCTTTGGGGCTGAGACGGGGCCAGGTCCTCAGTGCCTCCAGACTTCTCTGGACTTCTTCCTGAGTTTGGTCTAGAAGCAAGGAGATTCTCTGGGCTGGAAGTTCTCTGCCAATCTCAGGCAAGGCAAGTTACTCATTAGCAAGTGTCAGCATGCAATTCTCATCAACTCCAGGGGAGAGTTCAACCTGGTTTAACCACTGGGATACACAGTGTAGACACTCTGTCACAGGAAGTTCTCCCATATGTCTAACCTAAATCCTTCCTGCCACCATTGAAGCCCATTTCCTCTCATTTTGACAGTGTGGGAGAAGGAGACAGTCAGTTCCCCATTCTCTGCTTAAGACCCATCACCTACTTGAGCATGGCGTTCAGATTCTTCAGGCTTCTCCAAGGAGCAGGGCACCTGCCCACTCAGGCAGCTGTTCACAGAATTGGCACTTGTCTCCTGCTCCTTTCTGCAGGTCCTTTCTCTGTAAGAGTATCTGACCCAACACTTCCTGGTTCAGACCTAACCCTTCCCTCCAGGGAGACTGGAGGGGACTAGGGTCAGTGTGACTAAGCCCTACTCTCAGGTTCCCAATGCTGGAGAGAGCAGATCCAGAGGTGTGGCCCCATCTCTCAGGCCTGGGTGGCAGCTGGGATCAGAGATCAGAGGTTGAGCAAGAAAATGCAGAGAGGACAGAGTTGCTTTCAGGAATTGAGCTGTGACTGGGGGCAGGGACACAAGGACCAGGGAAACGACGGGCTGCACACTTATGGAAGGTGGAGGTAAAGCGGGGGCCTGACTCGGGGAAGGTGTTGCTGGGGAGAGCCTTTCACCTGGTGAAGGTTGCAGAGAAAAGAGGTTTCAGGGATGAAGGCCTGGCTGCTGTGGAGGGCCAGCAGATCTCTCTCACTGGGGATCAGACCCACCCCTTAGCCTTTTAAGACATGGTCTCACTAAACTGCTCCAGCTGGGCTTGAACTTGTAAGATCTTTCTGACTCATCCTCCCAGAGGAAAGAAAGCTTCTCTAGGGTGGAAAAAACACCAAGAGAGGGAAGCGGGTTAAGCAGGTAGCTGAACCTTTGCTTCACACTCAGGCTCTGTCCTCCTGCCCTCCACTGGCCCTTGGCACATGTTCTTTTGACCCATTGACTCCAGCAACACCTTTCACCTGTGCTACCTGGGGTCCTGGGGGACCAGTCAGGAGGCAAGCACAGGCTGAGCCAGGGCCTGCAGCCTGGGGGTCTCTGGGCAGAGGTCCTCACCCTGACCTTTCACTCTCCTCCCCTGAGCCTCCCTGCTTGGCCAGGGTGGGGACAGGAAGAGCTGGGGAAAGGGAAGCCAAGGGCTCTGGGAAAGTTGCCCTGGATGCTGCTCTGAACCCAGCAGCCACTGTGGCTGGAAATACCCGCCGTGTGGCTCCTGGCCCTAGCTTTCCAGGCATCCCCTGGTTTTGGCAGAAGTGGGGGCAGCTGCCCCGTCACCATTCAGTGAGCCTTTGCACGCCTGTGTTTCAGCCTCTGCAGCTGCCAGACCTTCATCCTGCCCCTCCTCTCTCTTCTGTCTTCCTGACCTGTGCCCAGGAGACCTAGGGAGAGCTTCCTACCAACCAGGAGTCACAGAAGATGCTCCCAGGACCGTAGTTTCTTCATTTTTGGGCCCCCTATCTCCATAGGCCACAGCTGTTCTTATTATGCAGAGGGCACAGTCTACACCAGTTACTCTAGTCCCAGGTACCACCTACAGCAGGTCTCTGGAGAAGGCAATGTGGGCCTAACCTTGGTCCTCAGGCTCCTGGGGCCCTGGAGAAGAGGTGTGGTAGGAGGCCCCCCCGCCTGGTGTCCAGCTGTACCCAGGGGCCCCAGCCACTGGGACATCATTTCAGTAGCTTGTCTGGGTCCTCCGCCATGAGCTACGTGCCAGTGGACATATTAGCCCAGTTGCCTTCTCTTGGGACATGGGGGAGGCTGAGCTTCCCTGAGCTGCCAACAGCCTCAGTAATCAGGCAATTCAGGAGTTCAGGAGGAGGGGTGCCGTTTGGGACTTACACTCGGCCTTGGAAGGCAGGTCATCTGGAAGGCTAAGGGTGTAGGCAGCTGGTTTGTCCAAACCACCACCTCTTCTCCAAATCCATTCTCAAAACTCCAGTCTGCCCCCTCCCTGTGAACTTTGTCTCACCCTTTCCCTGAAGAAGGCCCCCCGAAAAGTAGGCCTTTTCTATTTTTCTTTCTCCTCTCTGCTCCACGTGCCCCATCCTTTATCTTCTGCTTTCCTTTTTCTTCCTGGAGTGCATTTGCTGTCAGCATCACCCCATCTCTCCAGCAGGCCCATCACCTGAGGGAAAGAAGAAATGGTGGTTTATTGGGTCCTGCAACTGGGTAATCTGATATGGTCCCTCTGTCACCCTCACAGGTCACTTGTATTATTATTTTCATTGCACAGATGAGAAAATGAGGTGTTGAGCTGAAATAAAGTTACAAGCCCAAGGTAACTAAGATATGCTGAGAGCCAGGTCCTGGTCATGCTAATTCACCAGACTGATGCAGAGGGTAGGCAGAGTCCCCAGCCCTCCTCCTGGAGAGTCTTCTCACTCAATGTCCTTCAATACCCATGCCCTATGGCCCTCTCTTCCTCACGTCTTGTACCAGTCACTTTCTACCTTAAAGCACCTGGGCAAGTCGTCAGGCCTTTGCCCTGTCATCAGCTTCCTCTCCTCAGCCAGCCTCAGGCCTCTCCTACAGGGAACCCACTGTGTCCCTCGGGGAAAGCCCCGAGCTGGCGGTTCCCTGTAGGGGCTCCCAGGAGAGGAGCACCGGCCTGTGAGCCACTGTAGCAGAGCAGGAATCGTCCCTACCCAGCCCAGCCCCTCTGGGGAGGGGGAGGGCGAGGGCGGAGGTGCCTCTGCAGCGGCATCTGTCCCAGGCGGGCGGGAAGCTGCTGCATTAAATTGTAAAATCGATTTATTGACCGGCAGGTGCGAGCAGCGGCAGATGGAGAGTAGCGCTGCCGGGGCGCATCTGCGGGGTGCGGCGGCATCGATCCTGCCCCCCACCCCAACCGTGCGTCCTGGTCCTTTCTGCCAGCCCACTCCCAACTGAGGCTAGGTTCCGAGGGCTGCTGCATCGCCTGGGCAGCTGGGGTAGCTGATTGCCTTCCCCTGCCCCACCCGGCCTCGCCCCCAGGCTGCCAGGCCCCAGCAGCCCCACTGCCCCAGTTGGCACGCGGCGGTCCGGGCTGACGCGTGGCAGCGCCCTTCGGCAGATGAGGCACGCGCCGGCCTCATTTCAATGTGAATGGATCGAATGGAGCAGCCATGTGGCAGCAACAGTTTGCAAATCTCCCCGCCTTCTGTGCAGCTCCTGGCGGCGGCTCTCTGCAAGTGACCCCTTTTTCGCAGGGAACACTGCCGGGGGGTGGGGGTGGGGGCTCAAGGCTTAGGAGCCCCGCCCCAGCCAGGCTTGCTTCCTCACCTCGGGCCTGCCCCGCAGGTGCCGTGGTCCACACTCCGGATGCTTCTGCCATGGGACCCCAGGGAGCAACGGCTGGGAGGGGAAGGGAGAAGCAGCCAGGCGCCTGCAGCTCCAGGGACGACTCAGTCTGTGTGCAGAGGAAGGGGTCCGAGGCTCCGTGGGGCTCCTGTGTGTCCAATAACTTGGGGTCGTCTGAGGGCACTGGTCCGGCCTGCCAGGAGGAACTGTGTGTGGTGGCCAAGCCATGGGGACAGCAGGAGTAGAGGCCTCTGCGGGCAGTGGCCGTGGTCCTTGCCAGAGCCCAAGTCTCCATCATACTCAGGGGAACAAGGAGCTTCTGCTCAGCGGGAGCCCAGTCGGTCAGGCCTGGGGTCTGTGCCGACTCTCAGGGGTAGCATTAGCAGACTTCCATGGGTGTGTAGTCCTACAGTCTCTGCAGCCTCCTGTTGCCTCACAGACCCCTGCTCCTTTGAACCCACAAGATGTTCACTACATTTTTTTGCCCTCAAGTCACATTTGGGAGAAGATGAATTCCAGCTCAGTGAGGACTTCCAGAGACATTAGGGCCCTTGCCCTGGGATGCCCTGCTCACAGTGGGACCCTCTCCAGGTTAGATCTCCAAGCAGGTACCCAGGACCAGGGTGGCATCCCGGCCAGGAATGGAGCTTCTGGGGTGATGCTCCCAGCAAACAGGTGTTTTTGAGGAGAATTTAACTCTTTCTTCCTTGGGTCAGGGGCTTTCTACATCTCTGGGATCCCTTGCATTGCCTGTCTGTGAAGATAATCATATTTGTTTGTTCCTTGGTCACTTGCAAAGTATTCCGGGTGTGCCTGAGGGTAGAGAATAGTTTCAGGTCTACCACTATTAATACCAGATGCCACATGGGAGAAGGCATCTCCCTTGAGGGCCAGGCAAATGTGCTTGTGCCACAAAAAGAGCATGTTTTTACGAGACTAGGATTTGTGGGTGGGAGCCCACAGAGTTAGATGGGGCTGGATGCCAGATCTAGGAGAGCAAGGAGCACCCTCTGGCATCCTAGGCAGATCCACAGAGAGTGCTTGAGAGAGGATCTGATAGCCCACTTGCCAGGATCGCTGCGAGGCACACCCGGAGCTCCCCCCCTCCCTCAGGCCTGGGACTCGGCCAGCCCATAACCTACATTAACTCTGAGCGCAGCCTGGGCCCATCTGCCGGGCCCCCACTCCACTTCGGTTCCCCACGCCAACCAGCTCGCACCAGATGGTGGCTGGGAGGGGTGGCCTGCGTGGGGGACCCCAGTGCCCGTCTCACCTCGTCCCTCCCCTAACCCACGCTCACAACCTCTTGTTTCTCACCCCCCCATCCTCCACCACCACCACCCAAGTAAAAAAAATCAGACCATGCTTGGCATTGGCAGCTGTTGGGCTCTGCACCCCCACACACACCGCCGCAGCCTCCCAGGGGCCCACACCGCGTCCCCGCTCCCCCTGCACTGATCTTATCGTCCAGCAACAGCCATCGCTGTGCGAATGGCTGACAGCTGAAGCCACAGGGCCCCGCCGCCCACGGCGTTGCAGAGCGAGATCCCCGGCACCCCAGAGACTGGGCGAAGCCGGCCCTCCCCAGTCCGCGGCCTCCAGGGATCGTGCTGGGTTCTGGGAAAGCAGCTGCGCCCCGGCGCGAGGAGCTAGGAGGCCACCCGGAGAGCGCGCGGGCGAGACTTGAGGCCGACCGAAACTTAACTCCTGCGCCTGCAGTTCCAGCCCTCAGCCACCCTAGGAGAGGCCTGGAGCTGCCGGGCCTCAGCCCCCACCCGCACTCTCCAGTGGCCCGTAGCAATTCTGGAGTCAGGAGAGTTCCTCCCTGCCCCAGCGAAGCGACAGGACGCGGGCGGGGAGTTAGGGGTGACGGCTCGCGAGGGTGGGCAGTGGGGGCGAGGGAGCTGAAGCGGGACCAGGTGAGCAGACCTTGAAGGAGGGGCCGGAGCCTTATTACCATACAGCTGAAGACGCGCCCTCGCCTACCTCGGGGACCACGCTCCGCCTCCCCCACCTCGGGGACTAGCGAGTCCTGGCGCTGGCACGAGCCGAGCCAGGCGGGGGTCTGGGCGGGAGGAGCTGGCACGCGCTGGGCACGCCCCGCAGGCGAGAGGGAGACGCCCACCAGGTGCTGGAAGCGAGACCAGAGGCGGCACGCTCTGCCGGGTTCCCTGCTCAGAGCGGCCGGAGCAGAGGGTAACGAGCTGTTCCCTGGCTTCCGCGCTGCGCTAGGGACGCTTGGTGGGTGGGCGATCAAAGGTTGGAGGCAGACGAGGCGAGAGCTTCGGAAGCTCCGGGAAGAAGTGGTGGATCTGCGTCCCCTGGTGTTAATTTTCGCTTTTGGGATTTAAATTCTTTACCTGCTGAAGGACTGCGAGTCACAGCACTCCTCCGATGCACCGCCTACGGGGACTCCCTAGTGTCCCCGCCCCCAGGACCACTCGGGAACCGCCCTCTTACCTCCCGCCCAGTCTCCTGGCCGCCCCCCTGTCCTTAGGCAGCAGGGGTCTCAGCCCTTAGCCGGGCGATCGGGTGGACTGGTCACTTTGATCCGCATAGAGCCGGGGACCGGGGGCCGGGAGAGAAACCGAGGGGCGGAACCTGCTCCGGACTGGGAGGGGCGGCGGGCCCCTCCGGTCGGCCCCGGGACTGTAGCGGCTAGAGGCCGGGAGGGGAGGGGAGACTGACCATGAGTGTCTGAGTGACAGGCGGCGATAAGAAGAGCCAATATATATAAGGAAGGCTCCGGAGCGCTCAGGTTTCAGTAGCGGCGCTGCGCGCAGGCCAGAAACACGAGGCAGACAGCCGCAGCCCGAGCTCTTCGCTGCCGCGCACCCGGCCGTAGCCGGCGCAGCCCCCGTATTAGCCCGAGAACACGTTTTAGCGCGGCCGCCGCCCTGTGGCCCTCACCTGGATTACCTACGAGGCAGCTGCCGCGGAGCTAGCGCGGAGGCGGCTGGGGAGGAGCGTTCTAAGAGCAGCCGGCTTTTCAGGGATCCCACTGGCAGGCAGACGCGCGGGAAAGCAGCATCCCTGACAGAAGCAGATTCAGGGCCCGCAAGAGGAGCGCGCAACGCCCCGGGGAATGGCGGCTGCGACCCGGAGCTCCGGCTGGGCGCTACTGCTGCTGGTGGCACTTTGGCAGCAGGTAAAATAGCGCGCAGCCGGCTCTGGCGTCTTCCAGCTGCAGCTGCAGGAGTTCGCCAACGAGCGCGGCGTTTTGGCCAGTGGGAGGCCGTGCGAGCCCGGCTGCCGGACTTTCTTCCGCGTCTGCCTAAAGCACTTCCAGGCAGTCGTTTCGCCCGGGCCCTGTACCTTCGGCAGTGTCTCCACGCCGATATTGGGCACCAACTCCTTCGCCATCGAGGAGGACAGTAGTGGCGGGGGGCGGAAACCTC